AGGGAAAGAATACTAATCAGAATGGCGTCAGGCAGCTGACTAATCCGATCTACCTCCGAATAAGTCTCTCCCTTGTCACCGAAATTGATTGGAAGTTTTTTGCGTTTCCCATATGTCCATTTGGAACGCTTAGCCTTTCGTTTCGGCATGGAACATACCCTTCTTATTAATTTGCCGTCTTCTTAAATATTACAGGGTAATCAAATAAACATAAACTGCAGAATAAGAGGCACAGGAACCAGTAGCTAATGAAAATCCCCAGTTTTTCATTCTCGACTTTGCAATCTAGAATTACCAAAGCAGCTATATATACTCAATTATTTATATGCTGCAAACCGACTAAAATCCGCCAATTCCAAATCCAGCCAGGAGACTATTTTTCTCATTCCCACTCTTTGAAGGAGAAGCGAAACCTTCTCTTCTATCTCTTCTTTTGTACAACGTAACCCATGGAACACAATTGCATCTTCGAAAGAGTAAATCTGTCACTGATATATGTTTTTTATATTAAAAAAAAAAAAAAAAAAAAAAAACTAAAAGAGCTCGCAAATTTGATTGGAAATCGTCATGTAATTCAAAATTCCAACATAATTCAAAAGGGAGAAACTTGCTTATAAGCCTTTAGATCTCTTAAAATCCAAGGATATTAGAATCGTGTTTCACAAAATTAACTATGGAAATTGGAGATTTGAACAAGATTATTAGTATGAGTTAATGTGTTTAATGGTTATTATGATAAAGAAGGCCCTGTCCTGGAACAACTGAAGTTTAATTGAATAGAAGTGACGTGAATTAAGTAATTACAGGAAATCTAATCTTAAAAAATATATATATAAAGCAAAAGGGAGAGAATGGTAAAACATTTAAAACACCAGAAAATGCCCTTGGTTAATTCAAACATAAAGAATTGAAATTATACAAATTTATAAATAAACTCAATCCTAGACATGTATTTATAAAAAAAAACCCAAGCACTATTTAAACATAGAAACACACCCAAAATCAACCCCAAAGTCAACTTTTTGGGTGTGTTTATAAATGGGTTTTGAGTGTGTGTAATGATGGGTTTTGGGTGTGTTTATAAAGTGTTTTGGGTGTTGGGTTTTTTTATAATTTCAACATCCATTTTGGGTGTTTTAGTGAAACTCCCTTGAAATTACTAATAAATGAGGATAATATGGTATATATAATAAAAAGGGAGTGGGTTTGGGTTAGTAAAATTAAGATGAATCTATATTTGTCAATGGGGTCTAGTCCAATGAAAACAACATTGATTTGCAGACTAGAGGTCTCAGGGTTCGAATTCCCACGACATCATAGCTCTGTGTATGTAAGAAATTCCCCTCCTCTCTAATTTAAACTATCGTTTGTACTAAAAAAATAGATGAATATTTGGATTCATTGCCATATAACCAACATAAAAAGAAAAAGAAAAAAAAAAAAAAAATCTTTCATTACCAGGCTTAAATGAGCAACCATACAAAATGGTTGCCCAAAATGCAGAACTTTCGCAGTTGAAAAAAAGAAAAGAACAGAGTGCTCAGCTGGGCTTGTAAGGTTCTCGTTCTATTGGTAGGTCCAGAGCCCACCAAAACAAGTAGGACCCTAGGGCACAGTGGATGCTCTTCTATTGATTTTGTAACATATGTCTTTCTTTTTTTTTTCTCCGAAAAATAAAAATTATGCAACATCATAAACAAAAGTGCAAAATACAAGCAAAGGTGCCATTAGTATAGTGATTTGGTGCAATTGCTCTCTTAGGCTTGAATTCGAGTGCTAGCATCCATCTAATATATGTGTTTAGTATATTATCTCTCATTTCAGAAAGGTTCTTTAAATAAAAAAAAGTGCATAACACAAAACGTTAGCAGGCACATCCAGAAAAAGACAAACCAACAGGTTGGAAGCAAACTTGAAAAAGATCTGAGCCATGAAAGAAAACCAAGTTTGGCCATAGAATACATAGTATACTTGGATTGGATGGCAGTCATTGCCAGTTTTCGGAACGATGGTGAAAGCTGTTTCATTTAAGATAACAAAGGTAATTTTCTTACAATTCAGCTAGAATTTCCTAATTACCAGAGATATCTTCTATTTCAGATTGTTGGGATGCGGTCGTAGAGCCTTGCGCTGCAGCAATTGTAGGAGAAAACAATAAAGGCTTGGGTGCAATTTGCAAGGAATGAAGGGGTCCTTCGAACATCTCTACTACTTTGCTCATTGATGGCCGATCAGAAGGATTGGTCTGAATGCACCAGAGACTTATTAATACCATCTTTCTTGCTATTTCTTTTTCCTCCTCTGTGATTGCCCCAAAAACATTCTCATCATTGTCTAGCTCTAGATCTCTATAAACGTAATGCGGAAACATTTCACTGGTATGAGACACTCCCGAATCCAAATTGTTTCTTGCTCCAACCATTTCAAGAACCAACATGCCGTAGCTGTAAACATCAGATTTGTGAGACACGCCTCCAAAGTTCCGGCTAAACACTTCTGGTGCAATGTATCCTGCAGTTCCTCTTGTCCCCATCATGGATACAATACTCTCCTTCGTTTTGCATAGTTTGGCAAGGCCGAAATCAGCGATTTTTGGGCAAAAATTTTTGTCCAAAAGAATGTTCTGTGGCTTGATGTCAAGATGCAGAATTCTTGTGTTACATCCACGGTGTAAGTATTCTAGTCCTCGAGCAATGCCAACAGCAATTTCAGATAGTGTTTTCCATTCTAAGCGACAATTTTCTGTTTCAGATCCCCGTTTATGTATGAAATTATCTAGAGATCCATTATGCATGAATTCATATATCAAAGCTCTTTTGTCCTTCCTCTCATAACAGAATCCAGAAAGAGTGACAATGTTGACATGGGAGGTTCTACCAATGCTAGCAACTTCATTAATAAAGTCTTCTGCATTACCCTTGGACTCGCTTAGGACTTTCACCGCCACGACGAAGCCATCCGGCAGCCTGCCTTTGTACACGGTTCCAAATCCACCTTTACCTATTTTATCTTTGAAAGAGTCTGTCATTTTCTTGACATTTGCATAACTATACCGTTTTGGAGCAAGGCATTCATAGTTCCTTATAAATTCCTCAACGTCAAACTCATCGGTTGTATCTTTCTTGAAGAAACCCAATATTCTTTTCCTTGATATGCATACAATACAAGCAATGATTATGAGGATTCCCGAAACACCAGCCGGAATGCCTATATTGAACAATTCTTCAAGTTATGCATTTTATTGATATGTGAAAGAAAGCGAAGATTGAAACTTGTGGTACTTAATATATATTTATCATATATACGCACCTATTTCATATTTAGCCTTTGAACCTGCACAGAAAAAAGGTTAAATCATAA